TTACTGAGTGCTCGGTGTTGAGCTATACCTATATAGGGGGAAAATACAAAATTTGGTTTTTGTCTTGAGGAACTTGTACCATGTAGTTGAAGAATATAACTAAAATATAGCTAAATTTATCAAAACAGTTTTCTATATACACTTGCCACACATCCCACACATTTCTTGAATTGTTCTCACTGGGCTTTTTTTCCAGGCTCTCTGCCGTAAATGGCACTTACCAAGATCACATGATTCTAGGCCCAGTGGAAAGTTGGCAATCCTCATCTTACATGACCTCTTAGCAGTATTCAATGATGCTGAACATTTTCTCCTTGAAATTTTTCCTCCCTTCCATGACATCATTCATTACCAGTTTTCTTTCTTCCTCTGTTTGGTCCTTCTCAGTGTAAAACCTGGATTATTCTCTGCTACCTGATCTTCAAAGATTAAGGTTTATTAAGAAATGATGCTAGGTCTTGTTCTCCTATCATTCCATAATCCATCCCTCATTCCAACACATGAACACATGAACACATGACTTCAGTTACCATCTGCACATTCATGACTTAGATTTACAGCTCTAGCCAACACCCTTTTTCTTTTTCTTTTTTTTCTTTCTTTATTTCTTTTTTTCTTTCTTCTCTCTCTCTTTCTTTTTTTGTGGCTCCAAACGGGTATATACCATTATCTATTCAAAATCTGCACTTGGATGTTTCACAGGAACCTCAATTTCAACAAGTCATTTTCTTATTTGGTTATCCATCCAGATTCTCAAGCCCAAAGCCCAGAGATCAACCTTGACTCCTTCTGCTTCCTTACTGCTCACTTCCAGTTAATCATTAAGTCCTGTTGATTTTACTTCCTCTCAGATCTGTTCATTTCTGACCTTCCCCACTGTGGCCATCCTAGTCTAAGCTATTGTAACAGTCTCCTAATTGGTATGATTGCATCCACTCTTGCCTTCTTCCGATCTATTCTTTACCTGTATCTGAAGTGATTTTTTAAAAAGGTTAATCTTATGTTTTTCTCCAATGTGAAAACTTTCAAACCTTCACTCTTGGGATAAACACCCAAATCTTTCACTACTCCCTAAGACCTTCCCTGTATGACCTGGTCCCTGACTTCCTTTCTAGCCGTGGCTCCTGCCCCCTGCCTTCTTACACTCTATACTCCAAGCATGCAGGATTTCTTGCAATTCTTCAGACATACTATGCTTCTTTCCATCTCAGGGTCTTTATATATGGCTTTTCCTCTGCCTGTTATCACACTTCTTCATCTTTACCTATCTGACCAATCCTTTAGAGTTCAGCTTAGTTCAAAGACTATGTCATTTGCAATTAACTTGCCTATTCTATTCTAGCATTTGCCCTCACGATGTTAAGTTTTTTTTTGTGTTATTTTTTTACATACATAAGATTATTACGAGATATGTCTTAATTTGGGGTAATTGACTAATGTTGAAGTCTCTGGAATTAATCATCAGTATTTAATGGGGACGCTATGATAAATGTTCTTCATCATTTTATAAAATTCCAAATAGGCCTAATTATTTATCTGTTTGAATATAATTGATTGATTAACCAGTAACTTAGATTTTTCTTAAGTCATTATACCTTATGTTAGAAATTTCGTTTCATAATGAGATCTATGTTGAATAAACAAAAAGAAAATAAGGATTAGGATAAGGAAAATAAGGATTAAGTGGACACATGCCATATGTGGATTTTTATGGGAATTCTCATCACAGGAATAATATGGATGTGCTTAGGAATGCCAAGAAGTTTAGCTTAACTTTGTGAAACTAAGACCACCAGAGCTTAAAATAAATGAGTGTATTTACTTGCCAGGCAAGCAAATATAGACCAGTGAAGATTTCACTGAATAGTTTGCAGAAGAGGAAAATTCTGGGGTTTTTAAATATTAGGAAGAGAGCATCACAATGGTTATACTTATAACAGCTGGTCACTATCAGAGTGTGAAGGACAGAGTGAGTCCACAGGTATGTGCATGATTGATTAAAACAAGTTCCATTGTTCAGCAGTCAAGAAAGAATGGTTAGTTAGATCCAGGAATGGTCTGCTATACTGGGGTCACTCAAAGTTCACGATCACTTATATGCTTAAGTTGATTAGAACCAGTTTTGATGAAACACAACACTCAGTTTTGATACAATTTAGGCAAATGCCTCTGTAAATGGAAGATTTTCCTTGTACAGCTTGAACAGATGGATGGAATTTGGATTGTTATAACTAGGGTATTGAAATATTTTTACTTCTAATCTTTACTCAGATTTATACTGTGTTTTTCCTTAAGAGATATCAAAACACTTGTCAAAATGGGGGAACTTATATAACTTAGCTTTTTCTGTATAACAAAATACCTCAAAATCTAGCGGCAATAATCATTTATTGGCTCATCACTTCGTGGGTTGGTAACTTTGTGCTGGGCTCGTGGGTCTTTTCCGCTACCCATGGTATCAGTTGGACTTACTCACACATTTCAGTAAGATGTCAATTAATAGCCTTAATCACTGGCTGTTTGCAAAAGCAATGGAAGTAACTGGATCACCATCCAGCAAACTAGTTGAGGCTCATTTCCACGGTGGTGGTGGAAGGGCTCCTAAGTTTAATAAAAGAGAGCGAGCCCAAAGTTCAAGCACTTCTTTTTCTTTTTCAGCTTTATTGTGATATAACTGATAGCATTTTTCAACTTTCTTCTTGCATCATGTTTGGTAATGGTCCATTGGCCAAAAAAAGCAAGTCACATGGCCACAGCCAGACACAAGGGTACAGAAATAGACTCCACTTCTTGCTGGGAGGAGCTACAAAGTTACATTGCATCGGGACAGACATGCATACAGGAATGAGAATTTGTGACCATTTTTGCATTTTACCACACTGTAGTTTTTCTTCCCTTCCAGTATCCTTAAATGTGGATTTATATTTATACTGCTTATAGATTATGTCTACTCTACACTGCCCAAAATTAAAAGTTCTGGATGCTATAGACTTCTATTGATTGATGTGGATATCATCATAAGATAATACAGGCCACAGAAAAGAAATTTTATTCATTCCTTGAATGAGTTACATAATCAATTTAAAATCATTTAGAGATTATATTTTGAGTCTCACATACAGTGGCCCTGAAGTACAAAAACTAGGTTTTGTTTCCAAATGTGGTCATTAATAAGTGGGAGGAAATGATATCTGAGCTGAGACCTAAGAGATGCGGAGGATCTAGTAAAGCAAAGAGGGGGATAAAAGTATTTCAGGCAGATGGAAATATGACAGGAACGCAATTTTGTTAACCCATTTTTGTGTTGCAGTGATCAATACACATAAGAATCTGGAGATACCCAGTACTAATTACACATCATTGTTTACTGAACCGTTCTTCATTGGACCCTAAGCTTTATGATAGCAGAATCCATAGCAGGAGCTCAATAAATGTTTATGTAATGAGTGAATAGATGACTGACTTAGTAAGTGAATAGTGAGAAAAAGCTAGAAGACAGACAGAATAGAGAGCCATGCAGGAAAGAAGACAGAAGTTTAGGAGAATGCTTTATAGAGAGGGGAAGAGAGGGAAGAGAGAAGCAGAGAGGGAGCTAGATAAAGTAGCAGAGGGAGAAAGAAGAAGGGAAGAGCAGAAGGAGAGCCAGCAGAGGAAGGGACTGGGGGCTCTGAGATATGTGGTAGAAGTTTGGCTGCTTAGCAGTTTTATCACAGGAACTTAGCACTTCCTTTAAAATGCTAATGAATCTTCTGGCAGTTCAGGAACAGAAACTTCTACACTTTTAAACCACTTGCTTGTTTTGGGTTTTAAATTTCAAAGTTAATTCTTTTTTTTTTTTTTTAATGCATAAAACTTTTTTTTTTTTTAATAGATCTTTATTGATCTCAGAGAGGAAAGGAGGGGGAGAGAGAGAGACAGAAACATCAATGATGAGAGAGTCATTGATCAGCTGCCTCCTGCACGCCCCCTGCTGGGGATCAGCCCGCAACCCGGGCATGTGCCCTGACCGGGAATCGAACCCCAATCACCTGGATCCTAGGTTGACGCTCAACCGCTGAGCCATGCCCAGCCGGGCCAAAGTTTATTCTTGAAAACTTATTTTCCTAGAGAATTTTGAAGGCCTTATACGGGCATAAAGTAATTAGTTAGATTTTACGCATTGTTGTTTTTTTTAGATTATTGGGAGAGTTCAAATTTATCAGTTCTTACTGAAAATTCTTTTGCATTTTAAAATCTGTCAGATTACCTTAGTCTTTCTTCTTTGAAAGATGAAGACCTGCCCCAAACATTATTGGAAAATTGTATTTGAAACCAGCAGCTATTTTTTATTATTCTGAGCCATTTTGGTGTTTCAGTCAAAACCAGTTTGGGGGTTTTGAAGTCCTAATAGGGATTATGAACATAAGAACAATTAAAATCACAATGCATCCCCCACTTTCTGCCTGGGTGATACAGCTCTGTCTGAGTACAAGGGTAACTATTATGCTCAGGAGCTGTCAAAGTATTTAACTCTGGCAGGATAAAGGAAACAGGCAACATACATTCCTAGACAGAAATCAAAAGTTTGGTCAAAGGCATCAGAATTACTTGAGGTGCTTGTTATAAATGCATCTTTCAGGCTCCCATCCTAGACCTTGAATCAGAGTCCTTCCACATGATTTCTGCATCCAGGGAAGAGAGAGACCCCGCCACCTTAAGGCCTTAGTACATTCAACCTTGCTTTTAGTGTGTATGTGGCAGTTTCTAGGGCTATTCTTAGTACTTCTTAAATATGGTATTTAGTTGGGTAAAATAAGGCCTACCTCTATAAGAAGTCAAATAATGGTAGAAGACAGCCTATGATTAATGTGCTGCAGGCTTGAATCAAGCACAATTTCATGGAGAAAAGATAGATATACAGTTTAGATGAGACTCTGAACTCTTGTGTTCTGCCATTTGAACAACCTGAATCAAATCCAACGGTCTTGACTCAACGTGTCTTCGATTTCTACATCCTTCAGAGTATCCAAGATGAAGGAGCAGATTAAAGAGAAACAAGAACAAAGAGAACACATAAATGAGGTCAAAATCAAGGTGGCCAACACACGGAAACAGATTCTGAAGGAGCAGTTCAGTGAATGGATTCTAGACCCCAAACGAACTATTCCTATGATGGTGGTAAGAAAAGGGGTATCTGTGAAGGGTAGGTAGACTGCCAAATATGAAGGTGATTGCTAGAATACTGAGTGGAGTACTAAAAACCTCCTTCCAAAGTTTCAGTCCTGCTGACGTAAGTCAGTTCTTGACACATCTAGTCCATGAGAGTAGATTTCTTTTATTTTCTCTTGAGTATTTTTAAAATTTTAGCTAGAGTCCTAAAATATATTGACTCTGGCTGAAGTTCCTAAAATCTTCATTACAGACAGACATAGTTTTCATTTGTTTGTTTGTTTTTTGTATGCGTGTGATTAATTACTTATGTGGGCTAAGAGACTATCTTAGCTCCAGAAGACATATGTACTCTAAGAGTTAAATATTTTCTCTTTGGTATATATAGATGTGAGAATACTTACTGGCTAGATAAAATTACAAGCACATTTTTGGTTCAAAGTGAATTATTTTTTATTGAATTTATTGGGGCGACATTGGTTAATAAAATTATATAGGTTTCATGTGTACAATTCTATAATACATCATCTATTTATTGTATTGTGTGTTCACCACTGGAAGTCAAATCTCCTTCCATCACCATTTATTCTCCCTTTACCCTCTACTACCTCTTTTACCCCCTTTCCCTCTGGTAATCACCATAATGTTGTCTGTGTCTATGGGTTTTTAATTATTATTATTATTATTATTAATCCCTTCACCTTTTTTATGCAGCCCCTCAACAATCCCCCCAACCAAAGTGAATTATTAAAAATAGCCCTAGCCAGTTTGGCTCAGTGTTTAGAGCATTGGCCCTTGGACTGAAGGGTCTTAGGTTCAATTCCAGTCAAAGGCTCAACCTCACTTGCAGGCTCAATCCCTGACCCTGGGGGGGTGCATGCGGGAGACAACCAATGTGTCTGTCTCATATCAATGTTTCTCTTCCTCTCTCCCTTCCACTCTCTCTGAAAAGCAATGGAAAAAAATATCCGCTGGTGAGGATTTAAAAATAATAATAAATTAATTAAATTAAAATAGACCAAGGAAGATAAGCCGTAGACTGGGAGAAAATATTTGCAAAAGATATATCTGATAAAGGACAATTATCCAAAATATACAAAGAACTCTTAAAACTCAACAATAAGAAAACAAACCACCTGTTAAAAAATGAATAAAAAACCTAAGCCAACAATTCCCCAAAGATATCCAGATGGCAAATGAGCATATTAAAAGATGCTGCACATATGTTATCAGGGAAATGCAAATTAAAACAACAATGAGATACTACTACTCACCTATCAGAATGCCCAAATTCCAGAATATCTAGAACACTAAATGCTGACAGAGATGTGCAGCTATAGGAACTTTCATTCATTGTTGGTGGGAATGCAAAATGGTACAGCCACTTTGGAAAACAGTTTGGCAGTTTCTTATAAAACTAAACACACTCTTAACCACCCAGCCATCATGATCCTTAGTATATACCCAAAGGAGTCAAAAACTTATGTCCACAAAAAAACATGCATGCAGATGTTTACAGCAGATTTATTAATAATTGCCAAAATTTGGGAGCAACCAAGATGCCTTTCAGTAGGTGAAAGGATAAATAAGCTGTGGTGCATCCAGACAATGGAATATTATTCAGTGCTAGAAAGAAATGAGCTATCACACCATGAAAAGACATAGAGGAATCTTAAGTGCACTTTACTAACTGAAAAGAGTCTATCTGAAAAGGCTACAATACTGTATGATTCCAACTCAGTGATATTCTAGAAAAGTTGAAACTGTGGAGGGAGTAAAAGATCAGTGGTTTCCAGGAGTGAGAGGGGAAGAAGGGATAAGTAGGCAGAGCACATAGGGTTTTTAGAGTGGTAAAACAACTCCTTATGACGCCATTATGATGGATACATGTCATTACACATTTGTCAAAACCCATAGAATGTACATCAAGGATGATTCCAAATGTAAACTATAAACTTTGGGTTATGATGTTTCAATGAAGGTTTATTGATTGTAACAAATGGACCACTGTGGTGGGGGATGTTGATAGTGGGGGAAGCTGTGAATGTGGTAGTAGGCAGAGAGCACATGGGACTTCTCTACACTTTTTGGTCAACTTTGCTATGAATCTAAAACTGCTCTAAAGAATAAAGTCTATTTTTAATAAACGAACCAAGAAGAACTCTGAAATGTTATATATATATATATATTTTGTAACTGAAGAATGAGAAATTATAGAGGATTCTTTGGGTTGACAAATTGGTTGACAAAGGTGAGTTAGCTCCATCATGCCCCGTGTCTAAGTGTTGATAGAAATGTCCCTGGAGGGAGCAAAATCCGATCACTCTCAGCATCTTAGTTTTTACATAAAAAGGTTGGGAATCATTGAGGACATATATGTGAACATATTTTACATATCTATAAACTAAATGTTAATTATTAGTATTCCTGTCCCTGGGTTAAGAGGATTAAATGGAAAAATTATAGATAGCTTTAGTCTAAAATACTAAATATATGGTAATTGAGAAGTAATATATGATCTCTTTGATTTATAGATTCAGAATGTTCTTCATGAGTTTTTTCAAAATCCAGCTTTCCAGCTTGGTAAGCATACTTATTACTAGAGTATTTATGTTTTTCTCTCTTATGGAGGAAAGAGGAGGGATGCTGAATTAAGATGAAGAGTCAATATTGAGATGAATGTTATTCAAAGCTCTTACAGATGTACTTAACTTTTTTGCTGTCTCCATATGGAGAACGTAGAAAAGCAGAAAGCAATCAGTGATTTTCAATCCTTTTAGTCCAGTGCCCCATTTTATTACAAATATTCTGTAATACCCCTTTATTATCCTGTCAAATTCCTAGAAAATATTACTTATTTTAAATTTTAAAAGAAAGATATGTCATAAATGTGATACAAAGGAGAAATAAAAGATATAAAAAATTACATGCACTGTATTTCAATACATAAATGCTTGGTTATAACTTCATTGTAAGACATAAATGAAGTACTAACATTTGTACCTCCTTATAATGAATGTTTAGATATAAGAAAAGTAAAATTACATTCAATTAACCATTGCTTTGTATTTGAAATTTTGAAATAAGGGCAAAATGAATGTATTTGTATATATATGTAGAATCCCCATGAATAGGAGAGCTATAAAATGTAGACTGAGGAGGTCCAAGGTGGTGGCAGATTGACTGGACGCTACACTGACACTCTCTCAGGACCAAACTGGATTTACAACTAAAATACAGAAAAACCACCCTGAATAATCAACTGCAACTGAAGACTAGCTGGGGAGCACCCTCATAACCAAGGATGAAAAGTGGAGACCCCACAGAGACTGGTAGGAAGTGCAGAGGTGAGAGAAGGCTGGCTGGGCTCCCACAGGCAGCAGCTGAAGGTCCAGAGGGATAGCTCAGCTGCTGGGGGTTCCCACTGAAAACTCTGGGGTCTATGCCCCAAACTGGATTCCCCAGCCCAGAGCACCAGAACTGAAAAAGGTACCCACATAACATCTGGCTGTGAAAAGCAGCAGGGTTTCTGTCTGCCAGGTAGACACGGCTGGAAATGCAGGCACCCTCTTAAAGGGCCAGCACACAAAGTTTCATGTGCAGACACTCACCTTGGGCTCTGGTGGAGGCAGAGTGGACTAGAGCAGTGTGAGGAGAATCTAGGGGGTCTGGCTGGGGGAATAGATCACAGAGGGCATCCATCTGGACCCTGGTGCTGAGTCATTCCCCCATACAACAGAAGACATTTTTCTCAGGCCGATATTTACCTTCTGAGCAGCTTTTACCTGGGTGGGGGGAAGGCAATTGCAGCACCCTGTGGAACTTCTACAGCCTGAGGCTCATTAAGAGACTGAATAACAGCCTCTGGGTGCTTTGAGTCTTTGCCTGATATGCTTCTGGACCCAGGGCTTGGAAAAGCAGACCTTGGTGTACATCTTGGTCCTGTCCAAACACACCCAGACCCAGCAGAGGAAACCAGAAGCTGTGGAGTGTGGAAAACTTCAAACAGGGTATACTCAAGGCCAGTCACAAATAATGTCTGACATTGGCCTGCACCAGAGACTATCCAAAAGACTGGGAGTCCTAGCAGATCTACTTAATACATAGAAACAAATCCAAACAGGCAGCCAAAATGGGGAGACAGAGAAACAAGCCTCAAATGAAGGAACAAAAGAATTCTCCAGAAGAAGAGCTAAATGAAATGGAGATAAGCAAACTATCAGATATAGAATTCAGAATACTGATCATAAAGATGCTCAACAGCATGATAAAAGATATAGAAACTATGAAGGAAATTAAGAATGACATAGTAGAAATTTAAAAAACCACATTGGAATGAATTAGCAGCAGATTAGGGGAAGCTGAGGATTGGATCAATGAATTAGAAGACAGGGTAGGAAAAAAATCACTCAATCAGGGAACCAAAAAGAAAAAACAAAAAACAGGAGGACAGTTTAAGAGAGCTGTGGGACAACATGAAATGTAACAATATTTGCATCACAAGAGTGCTAGAAGAGGTCGAAAGTAAGCAAGGTTTAGAGAACTTGTTTGAAGAAATAGTGGCAGAAAACTCCCCTAACCTGGCCAAGGAAAAAGTCACACAAGTTCAAGAGGCACAGAGAGTCCCAAGCAATAACTCAAAGAAGCCCACGCCCAGACACATCAGAATTAAAATATCAAAAATTCAAGACAAAGAGAGAATCTTAAAGGCAGCAAGAGAAAAACAATCTGTTACCTACAAAGGAGCTCCCATAAGGCTATCAACTGATTTCTCCCCAGAAACTCTACAGGCCAGAAGGGAATGGCAGGAAGTATTCAAGGTAATGCAAAACAAGGATCTATCCAGCAAAGCTATCATTCAGAGTAGGTGGTGAAATAAAGAGCTTTCCATACAAAAAAAAAAAAAAAAAGCTAAAGGAATTTATCACCACCAAACCAGCATTGCAAGAAATGTTAAAGGGACCGCTGTAATAAGAAGTTGAAATAAAGAGAATGAGAAACATAGGCATAAAGAAATAAAATGGCAATAGATAAGTACCTATCAATAGTAACCTTAAATATAAATGGATTAAATGCTTCAATCAAAACTTCGGGTAGCTGAACAGATAAGAAAACAAGACCCAAATAAAGCAAAAGACTCACACAGGCTGGGAGGAAAAAACCCAAAAAACCAACTACTTCTGGAGGACTTTAAAGGAGAGATCGACAGCAATACAGTCATACTAGGGGACTTTAACACCCCACTGACTTTACTGGATAGATCTTCCAGACAAAAATCAACAAGGAAACAGTGACTGTAAATGACACACTCAATCAGATTGATTTAAATGACATTTATAGACATTCCACTCCAAGACTGCAGAATTGGCATTCTCAAGTGCACATGGGCCATTCTCAAAGATAGACCACATGTTAGGACACAAACCAAGTCTCTACAAGTTCAAGAAGATTAAAATCATATCAAGCATCTTCTCGGACATTTACAAAATGGAATACTATGCAGCTGTGAAAACGAAGGGTCCCTTACCCTTTGAGACAGCATGGTGGGACATGGAGAGTATTATGCTAAGTGAAATAAGCCAGTCAGGGAAAGACAAGTGTCACATGATCTTACTCATATGTGAAATCTAATGAACAAAATAGATCCAGAGACATTGAAGCATGGAACAGGCTGAGGAATCTCAGAGGGAAGGCAGGGATGAGTATGTAGGTGGGAGAGATTAACATAAGAATTTGTATGCATATATGCATAACCCCTGAACACAGATAATAATGGGGTGAAGGCCTGGGGGAGGGGTACAGGGTGGACGGGATCAATGGGGGAAAAGGGGGGACATTTATAATTCTCTCAACAATAAAGATAAATTAAAAATAAATTAATTAATTAAATAAAATGCAGATTGACACTGGTGTGATGTATTGCAATTCAGGTACAATGTATGATATTACCTCCCATTACATAATTTTCTGAAATAGAGAATAACTCTTGGCAAAGTTCCAGAATGAAGCAGAGTACAATCCTCTCTCAAATTTTCATAGTAGTTACATTCTTAAAAAATTCAACAGTAAAGCCCAGCTGGTGTGGGTGAGCAGTTGAGCATCGACGTATGATCCAGAAGATTGCAGTTCAATTCCTGGGCAGGGCATGTGGACTCAATCCCCGGTGGGGGCCATGCAGGAGGCAGCCAATCAATGACTCTCTCATCATTGATGTTTCTATCTCTCTCTCTCCCTCTCCCTTCCTTTTTCTGAAATCAACATAAAAAAGTATGTTCTGTGTTTATATGTAAAATGGAGTTAGGTTCTACACTCCAAATTATTCTAATTTGAATGTCTAGCAGGAGGGAGAGAGTCTTTCTTGTGCAGGAATTGCAGGAGTTCTGCCCCTACTCCTACTCCCCATCGCTGCAGCAACAAAAAACCACCTATAGATTTCCTCCACGCACACTTGGGAGGAGGGAGACAGTACTACACCTATGGATAGCCACAGATTTTGATGCTTTTGTTTTCAGAATGGTTTCCTTATATGAGTTTGAGTCCTGAGATTTACATAATTTATAGCCAATTGATTGATTTTTTGACCACTTTATTACATTAATAACAATAGATTGTTTAAAAAAAAACCCAAAAAACAAAACAAAAAAAAACACACAATAGATTGTCTGACATCTGTTCTCACTTTTAAAAATAAAATATACTTTCCACTTTCCCAATCACTGTTCCCCAAACATGATTTGGGCCTTGCCGACAGCCTTTTCTTTTTCTATCTTTTCAGCCTATCCAAAAATATAATTATTCACAGTCAGCACAACCTCAACTCACCTTTCAGAAAGTTTTTGAAATGATTTATTTAGTTAGTTTTTGATAGGGTTACAGAAGGAATGAGTTAAGAGAGCTGTATTTGAGATTGTGATAAAATTAGAGAAATTTAGAACACTCTGGTTGGCAGTGATTGTTTCTTCTCTCACCTCCTATACTATATAGTATTTATTTTCTGTACCATTTATTCTTTCAATATTTATTGAGCCCTCACTTAGTTCCAGCTACTGTGATGGGGTAGAGGATACAAAGAGGACTAAGATATGCTCCCACTGCCCTTAAATTGCTCAAAGTCCGGCCAGGGGACAGACACATATACTTAATAACAATGGTTACTAGTAGAAAACCAGTCTGGCTTGTATAATCTTCCAGAGCTACCTCGGGGGAAGGTCTGGGGGGAGGAGGGGCCTAACAGCATTTAATGCGTAAACTTTACTAAAGTTTATACAGTCCTTTTATGATAATAACTGAGATCTTATAATAAGCAGTTAAAAAAATCAAGAGTGACTAAAGAATATTTTTATGTGCCTGCCCATGATTGGCAGAAGGAATTACTGGTAGAAGTAGGAGAGGAAGCCAGTATATTAATTCTCTCATCTTGAGCTTTCAGACAATTTGCACTTTTGTGTCTTGGTAAGATCAATATGGATCACATAATTGTCATATTAAATGGAAGTTTAAAAAATGTTACTCAAACTCACTCCCACATTCACCATTATGCATAAAACATTTTTTCCCTTTGCCTTTGTGATGTCATTCTCTCTTGATTTTTACATCTATCTCTGATCACCCTTCAGCATTTTTGTTTCTTGGTTCTTCTTTTCTTTGCACCTTGAATGTTGTTTTCCAGAGTTTCCTTTTTGACTCTATTATCGCTTTACACACTATACACCCTTTTCTTATTCAAACCCATAACTTCAGCTAATGACTCTTATCCACGTTCCCATCCCAAACCTTCCCCCTGAGCTCCACATTCTATTTGAAAAGATCTGCAAGATGAGTGGTTAAGTGAAAAAAGCAAGTTGCGGATCAATATGATCGCATTTATATAGGGAAGAACAAAAGATATGTGTGCATGCAATCTTTTAGACTATCGATGTGCATATTTGTTTCTGCTTTATTTCAACTTGGTCATTTAAAAAGGTAGGCACATTCTTTTCAGTGTTTGGGTTGTTTGGTTAAATAAAAGCCAGGAAAAATAATAATTTTGTAATAATTGGAATGTTACCCAGCTATATATCATTTACTTTACTGTAAATATTGATGGACTTTAATGAAGAAATACTTTTATGTTTTTCTTTTAAAGCACTATAATACGAATGTAAAATATGAATGTATTGTAATCACACTAACTATCAAATAACCTTTATTCCATAATTAGAAGCACATTGCAAACACTTGAATATTGCTGACTCAATGGAACGAAGATTGAACAAAACGGAGTTTGCAGAAGTAAGAAATTATACTATTTGTGATTTGACTCAAATTATTTTGCCAGTTTCAGTTGTCTTTTGGTGGATGTCACATATACATTACCTTAGAATTAATTTTTTTTTAAAGTTTATTCCTAGGTATCTTATTTTTTTAGTTGCAATGGTAAATGGAATTGTTTTTTTAGTTTCTCTTTCTGAGAGTTCATTATTGGTGTATAAAAATGCCATCGATTTCTGGGTGTTAATTTTATGTCCTGCTACCTTGCTGAATTCATTTATTAAATCTAGTAGTTTTTTGGTGGAGGTAAAAGTAGATTTACAGTTGTGAATATGTGAAAGAAATGTTTATTCTTGTATTATTACTCATTGCTTATTGTATTATTTTCCATACAAAAAACTAAACCTACTTGTGCCCCACCTTACATATTAACTCAGGTAATTGTCTCAGCAATCTTATTCCTAACTTCATAGATGAACACTCATAATTGAAGTGCACAAAGTTTAAGTAACTTGCATGAGGTCTCACAGTTAGTGGACCTGGGGAAATCTGTATTCAGGAAGTTGGATTTCAAAGTCTACATAATACTGCATCTGAGGCAGGCTGATTGATGAGTCTCATCATTGATGTTATCTCTGTCTCCCTCTCTCTTCCTCTCCCTGAAATCAATAAAAACATATTTTAAAGAATCAATATAAAGTAAATGAACAAAAAATTCACAATAATTGTAGCAATATTGAAAAATTTTTTTATAACAGCTCTATTGAGATGTAATTCACAAACTGTATTTTCAATGGTTGCTGTAACAAATTACCATGAATTTGGTGCTTTAAAAAAATTGGAAATTTATTGTCTCACAGTTCTGGGGAGCCAGAGCCCAAAATCATTATCACTGGGCCAAAATCAAGGTGTGAGCAGGGCTGTACTCACTCTGGAGAGTGCAGTGGAGACTCGCCTCTTCCCGCTTCTGGTAGCGCTTGTATTCCTTGACTTGTGGCCGCATCACTGATCCCTGCCTCTGCGGTCGCAGCGCCTCCTCTTTTGTGTGAGAAATCCTCCTCTTACAGGGGTACATGTGATTGCATTTAGAGCCCAACGAAATAATCCAGGATTATTTCCTCACCTCAAATATCTTAACTCAGCGATTTTCAACCAGCGTGCTGCAGGGCAAGAGGCACAGTGGTGTGCAGCAAAATTTTTTAAATATGCTGTACCTGACTATTTAATTAGGGGCACTGACCTCTTTTCTCTTGTCAAATCAAAAAGTGACAGCACCCAACACAACAATAGCCGTTGGTGTGGATGAATAAAAATTATGCCTATTTTTTGGTCAGATCAGCAAAAAATATATTTTTTGGTGTGCTGCAGAATATTAGTAATTAGTTTATGTGTGCCATGAGATGAAAAAGGTTGAAAATCTGCTACCTTAACTTAATCACAGCTACAAAGACACTATTCCCATATAAGGTAATATTTATAGGTTCCAGGGATTAGAACCTGATATCTTTGAGGACCATTATTCAACTTCCTACACAAGCCTTACATTCACCTATTTAAAGTCTATAATCCAATGTTTTTTAGTATATTTACAGAGCTGAGTAACCATTAAGGCAATCCATTTTAGAACATTTCCATCATCCCCAAAAGAAACCCCACACCTATTAGCAGTCATTCCCCATTTCCCTCCTAACCTCCACCCTAGGCAACCAACTCATTTACTTTCTGTCTTTTATAGCTTTACCTATTCTGGAAATTTCATATAAGTGAAATCATAAAATATGTGTCCTTTTGTTATTGGTTTCTTTCACTCAGCATAATGTTGTCAAGTTTCATCCATATCTTAGCATATATCAGTGATTCATTTCTTTTTATTGCTGAAAAATATTTTTGCGTGTGGACATATCACATTTTATTTATCCAGTCATCGGTGATAGACATCTGGGTTGTTTTTACTTTTTGACTATTGTGATATGAACATTATATATAAGTTTTTGTGAATGCGGATTCCAATTGCTCCACATCCTTGCCAGCACTTCTTACTCTGTTTTGTTTGTTTACATTATAGCCACTCCTGTGAGTATGAAGTGGCAGCTCACTGTGGTTTCGAAATGCGTTTCCCTGATGGCTAACATGATATTGAGTATATTTACATGTTTATTGGCCATTTATATATCTCCTTTAGAGAAATGTCTATTTAGATCCTTTGACCATTTTTAAATTGGGTTATTTTTCTATTATTGAGTTATAAGAGTTCTTTATGTATTCTAGATACAATCCATTGTCATATATATAATTTGTAAATATTTTCTCCTATTTTGTGGGTTGTCTTTTCACTTTCTTGATGGTGTCCTTTGAAGCACAAAAGTTTTAAATTTTGATGAAGTCCTATTTATCGAATTTTTTTGTTTTGTTGCTTTTGCTTTTGGTGTCATATCTAAAAAACCATTGCTTAATTCAAGGTCGTAAAGATAGACATTTAAGTTTTATAGTTTTAACTCTTACATATGTCTATTTAAGTTTTTGATCCATTTTGAGTTTATTTTTGTATATGGCATGAAGTAGTAAAACTTTAAAAAAATTATTTGGTAAGTCAAAATGGTAAAAAAGAAATAAGAATATAAAGAACCTGTATTACCAATAAGACATATAAGTAGGTATCAAACTTCAGTCCCTACAGTGACCCTATTCTGTGTCCTAGTTTCCATGGAATATTTGTAAAAATTTATTATAAATAGGCCTCCAAGAAAACCATATAAGTTCTAAAAACTAGAAATCTGACAGGTTAGATTCTCTTGTTATGTAATGAAACTGGAAAATAATAAACAAAATTTAAAATTAAATTTTGGAAATTTAAAAAATGCTCTCTTTAATAATTCTTGGGTTACAATTAATTTTATGGAATGCTACTAAATGTTTATTCAAATGAGAAATTATAGTCTTAAAGCTTTTAAAAATAGAGAGAGTGAAGGATTTTAAAAACACAGGTAAATATAAAAATAGAATAACTACATAATTATATACTCCCATGCCCTAGAATTAATTCTTGTTAACACCTTGGCATATTTTCTGAGAAAAAGTTATTTAATTTTGTAAAAACTATCATGACCAAAAAAATGAATTTAAACAACACATAAAAGTATGAAGATAGATATTTAAAATTACCATAAATTTATTACCCAGAAATAACCATTGTCACTCTTAGGCGACACCATTTTAAACAGCATTATATACTTTGTCTCAATAGGGAGATGGGTATATGGCATTGTGGATGATAAAAAATTGTTAGAAAATTTTAATTACTTAAAATATTTAATTGTACTTGATTCTAACAGAAAAAAGAGAAACTGAAGCAAAAATAAGGACATTGTTGAAATTGAACATATCTTTACAAAAGTTATTCTAAAAGAAAAGACCATCTGATGAAGATCAGAAAAGCTTGCAGGAATTATTTTTTAATCTCATACTTCAATTAGAGAAATAACAGTTGACATCCTGTAATAAAAGATGAAAATATTTAATATTTTTCATGCCTTCCTATTCTTTTTTCTTGTATTTCCAATTTTAATTATTTTATAATTTTAATTTTATCCAGATTTATACCATTCACTTTCTTTCCTGCAATTACAGCTCCCACAGTTGATTAATCTTAGTCTAATATTTAAATGGATTTGAGGTTCACTTTCTGTCCTTTTACAATGGCTTTGCTATTCCTGGGTTATTTATTTTGATTCATCTCTTAATTGGCTGAATTTATTGAAAGTGGTTTTCTCAGGTAAGTCACATGGATGCTACATTTTCTGAGTTCTTTTATGTTGAAAATGTCTACATATTGCCCCTAAGGTTATACCTTGGATGAGTATAGGTAACTGAGTCACATTTTCTTCTTACCCCAAAACAACATAGACATTATTTGTTTTCTGATATTGATTGTTGAGAAGTATGATGTCAGTATTACTTTTTTCTCCATTCATTCATTTTATTTAATTCAACAAATATATACATAAATCATATATGAATACTACATGTATGTCTATTTCCATATATGACATGTACATATGTGTCTGCATGTATGTATATCCATACAATTATAGGAGAAAATGGGTAAAGGTGATGTATACCTAATAGTACTCGATACAAACTCATTAGCATTTTACATAATTCCTTTGTGAATATCTATTTACCTATATATATAATTTTGTTTATTGGGTGGGTTGGGCTATTAATATAGTTTTCCTGATATTTCCTAACTTCTCTTCCTGAACTGAAAACAGCACATATTCAAGCACTTTCATTATAGAGAAGAGATGTTACATCAATTAGAAACTAAGAAAGTATTTCTTTTTTATTATGTTGTGTGTTTTTTTTTATTGATTTCAGAGAGAGGAAGGGAGGAGAGAGAGAGAGAAACATCAGTCATGAGAGAGGGTCGCTGATCGGCTGCCCCTTGCGCTCCCCCCACTGGGGACCGAGCCCGCCACCCGGCCAAAATATTTATTGAAAAATTTTAATTATCTAATCAATAAATTATTGAGCCATCTTATATGATATAGAAGTAGTTTGGGGGACAGTTGATTTTACATCTGTTTTAAGACTATTGTCAGAACAGGTTTAATGAAACTGAAAGAAAATGAAATGTCAGGCTTAAAGTCAATACGTTACACACAGATGCCACCCGGTGGAGAAACTATGCCATGCAACTGTCCTGCCGATAGTTTGCAATGAGCATTGTAATTACTGACACTCAGGATGGAGCATGTCTGGAGAAAAAGGAGTCATTGAGTAATTGTTAATGTAAAGAGAGGCAAATGGGGACAGTGGTCCCAGATGAATCCATTCCGCATGTCAGTTTCCTAGTGTATTTGTTTTCTGGTGGATAAATGAACGGGTGGTGATGTTTTTGTTGACTATCGCCTCTGTCTCACTATTTATCTGTTTTATTCTAGTAAATGATGACCAAAAGTAACTATTTTAGAATATTTACTTCTAGTCTTTTGGTTATTAAGTTTATACTCTCTGTGCTAGAAGAAATTTCAAAATTAGAAGGTGTATTTCTTACCCTTAAGGACCAAATATTGCATTGCTGTATGGGAGCTGCCTGTGGGTATACGCAGGCATTTATGTCTGTCTGTGTGTGCCTGTGTGTGCATGTGTATACAAGCATGCATAAATCCACATTCTGGGTGGCACCAGAGTAGGATCCAGGGAATGGAAGGATCAAAATATAAGCAAATTAAGAACACATGCCACAAAGAGGCAATTAAAAAGCAATGAACAAGTGCAAAACATTATGAATTATTATATTCATCGCTGCCAAAGGATGCTGCTATTTCATACAGTAAGGTAAAAAGTCTGCCCTATATAGTGCTGATGTGACCTAGAGGGAAATTGCTCCCGAAATATCTAGTCCCACTGGTGTGTGGTGTTGGAAACTGGATTGATCACCCTCTCACAGCCTGTAGAATAGCACTAACATGAAATGCTTTATCTAAATGACAAACAAATGGCATGGGGGAGATTGCAGCCAGTAATTTCATGCACATCAACTGAATCCTTGGGAAAATCCAAGTAAAGAACATGGTTTTAAATCAATCATTTATTCTCTGTCTCTCTGCAGTATGTCTCTTCACACATTGTAGACTTTAAGACTGAAATGTTTGAGGAACTCCTTAGGCACCTTTGCCACTATGCAGATGAATTCCGGGAGGTCATAAAAACAGATATGCAGAGGCAGATGTTTGCTGAACTCTTCCTGCATTGTGACTGTGGGAAGGTAGGGTAAGACCCTTAAAGCCATGTTTCTCAAACTATTTGTTGTAAAGGGCCAGTTTTTAGGTTGTTAATGGTGATGTTTTTAATTTCCAATCTGCTGTGAACTAATAGTACTCATTGAAAATGGATTG